CTCTCTCTCTCTCTCTCTGTGGGTGTGTGTGTGTGTGTGCGTGTGTGTGTATGTCCCCCTGCCCCCCGGGTGGCGCCCGGCCTTCAAGCACCGACCGGGCCTTCCCTTGGCCGACCCCCTGGGGTGTCACCGCATTAACGGGGAAGACCCGCGGCTGATGTATGGGCCAAGTACTGGTGGTTTAAGACCCGCGTAAAAACAGTAACGAGAAGAGAGGCTCCACCTGCCACCTCTTTTGCCATGCTCCCCTAACAAATACATTGATGGTCATTATCACATAAATGAAAACACCTATTAGTAAAGACGGTATTTCAAATACACCAATCAGGAACTCATGGACTTTACTTCTCACAGCAAAGAATCCCTGAACATCGCCAATGAAACCACCACCGGCACTCGACCCTTCTGTCCTGCTGCTCAGGCCGAGAGGAGCAACTACTCCCAATATTCCAACATATCTGCTCATACTTCGTCCCCTTTCGAGTACCGTTGGGCAAAACGAGGCGGCGCCCCAAGGAAACTAAAAGCAGATATCGAAGATACTGGAAAAAAAAAAAAAAAAAAAAAAAAATCCGAAATCTCGTCGCAAGATCTACCACATGACAGTGCCAGTCTATTCCAGCAGGGGCCGTCCTCCTATTTCCTTCTCACGTCCCTGTTTCGACTTTTCAGGTACCGCTTCGTGCTGGCTCCTCCTGAGTGGGCTTTTTTCACCCCCTATTCTTCATCCGCAAGAAAAAGACAGTATACATTTGATAGCTCCGCATGAAAAACCAATTAGAAAGGTCACCTACATGGCCAGTAGACCTATAAGCTAAACGTTTTTTGACTTTGTTAAAGTTTGTCTTGAGTCATTGCGGCTAAATGCTCCTAATATCATGGAAGCAATACTGAAAAAACAAACAAACATTGTTTGCCATGTTGGATGCTCCGTTCTTTCCGGGGAACCACGTGATCCAATGGCCGAGTTTGGCCAACTGCTACTTCAGATGGTAGACCTACGATAGCTCCCTCTGAAAAACTACTCAACAAATGATTTTATTCTCTTCATCTGAGAGTATCTGGATTTGAACTCGAGTCTGTATTTCAACAGTTCAGGGGGGTAGCAACTGAAATACATGTTTCTATGCCTATTAATCAATTGTTAGATGCTGGAGTTGATCCTAAAGAAGTTTCATTACCTCATGAATTTATATTAAATAATAAATAGAGATCTTATGGACCAATTATATCCAAGTTTTAAGGGTGGCTTGATACCTTTTTTTACTTTGCCCGTTCACACGTGCCAATGGGCCTCGCCACACCACTCTCGAATCTCGAAAATATTAGAGGGCTGTCAGGATTTTTCGAGAGGCCGGTTTTCGAGAGAAAATGGCCCTTCGCCACATAGCACACTAGACAGGCCTCTCGAAAATTTGTCTCGAGCGTGGATGCTATCCACGGCCCGAGAAAATGACAACTCTCGAAATGGACATAGAACTCGAGCGCGGACGGGCGGTATCACGAAAACTCCAACGCTGCAGGCTGGGCGGAAACATCGTTTCGAGAAGGCACTCGAAAATGCCTTTCTGACAGCTCTCGAACAGTTCCGGTTTTTTTTTTCAAGCGATGCTGTGTGGCGGTGCCCGACTCACGAATTTTCAAGATTCGAGAGTGGTGTGGCGAGGCCCAATACTACTTACATTTTGCAAACTTTCCCTTTCCTCCGGTATGCTGAGATGACTGGTACTCTGGTGGTATTTGGATTTGAACTTAGAGTCTGTATTTCCACAGTTCAGGGGTGTAAGAACTGAGCTAGGCCCATTGGTTGGTGTCAATACTACTTACATTTTGCAAACGCTCCCTTTTCTCCGGTATCCAGGGACGACTGGTACTTTGGTGCCCCCTGGAGCAACCAAGTCAACCCCTCCTTATTTCGGGTGACCCAGTTCACCCAGTTTCTCAGCGTTTTTCATTTTACAAGCCAAAAGCCCGGTAATGGCCCCGGACCCTGGTCTGTGTGCTGATAAGGAACGCTGGACCCGTTTTTCAGAGGTGTAGCTGCCTACCAATAGACAGGAGCCATCTGGGAGGGTGCTACCCGGGGATGCACTTACCTCGGGTAGCACCCCCCGAGGATGTTAAAACTTGAAAAGGAAAAAAAGAAAAAAAAAGGACGAAAGCTGTGCATGCCTGGTGTGTTGAATGGTAACACATGCTACACAGCTATAACTAATGACCGACCAAGGCGCCAGGAGTTCAAATCCTTTCTTTCTTTTTTAAAACATGCCTGGGTTGATGCTAGGGAAGCTGATAAGAGCAGACCCCTCTAGCATTCCCAGGGAGGCTCCATCTATTGGTGGGGAGCTTCACCTGCTGGAAAACAGGTCCAGCGTCCCATGACATTGAGCTTGTATGAGCTTGTTTATTGATGAGCCTGAAACACTGTAATGACTGTTGCGTAAGGGTACCTCTTTCAACCCACTGAAGGGCGCCTGATCAGGCCTGCTACTCTGAAAAGCATTTTTGTTGTTAGTTCAGCAGGTGGTCCTTACTCCTGCCTGAACCATTGCATTTCTACGATCGCTGTGGCTGCCGGGGGGAACATGTCTGGAAATTCCCCTGGACTCTTCATCTGAATATCGGGATTGACCTGAAGCCATTCGTGAAACTTGAGTTTGTAGTCCTTGGTGAGTGCATTGTTGGACATAAAACATCATGTCAGCTGCTACACCCTCACTCTTTCAAAGTGTTTTCCCTAGAAAAGAGGGATGTGAGCGAAGATTTACAAGAAGCCAAACCCAGAAAAATTCAGAGGAGGAGAGGGAATGTTTTTCTGAAGGCTTGGACAGCAGGTTGGTCAATAAGTTCTTTTTGTTTTGGTCAATAAGTTCTTTTATGAATACCAGCCGCATTTCTGAGTCGGGCTATGGATTCACATTCCACTTCTGGTGTTCTGGGACTTGATGACGTCGGTCGCCCAGGTGGTGTCCTTCCTTCAACGAAGAAAAGAAGAGGTAGAGGGAGGAGGAGGGGAACAACAAGGGCAGGAGGAAGAGGAAGAAGGCCACTGGGATCATGGGGGGGGGGGGGGGGGGGGGGGGGGGGGGGGGGGGGGGGGGGGGGGGGGGGGGGGGGGGGTGAAGGGGATCACACACACCTTCAATGGCTGGATTTCTGGGACCTCAACAACCCTTAGCGGTTTCATCATCTCATTGTATGCGGAAGACTGCTGAACAAGTCTTTGCATCAGATCCCTCATTGTGCTGACGATAACCTCGATTGTTGCCTTCTCCTGGTCAAAAGGTGGTGGTGATGGTTCACCTTCTCCTTCTTGTGATGTTTGGGCATCTGCTCCCACTGCTTGCTTCCCCGCACCATCTTTCCCCTTTTTCCCCTTCGTTGCTTCCCCTTTTTCTCCTCTTGGTGTACGAGCTTTCGGCGTCTTGCGGCCCCCTTTTTCTCCTCTTGGTGTACGAGCTTTTGGTGTATTACCGTCTCCATCTCCTGCATCCATCTTCTTCGGATCACTTCCCTTCTTAGCATCCTTACTTGCATCTTTCTTGACTTTGTCATCAGCAGTTCCTTCAGTCCCAGCTTTCCCCTGAGCTTGGGATTCAGCTTGCGGTTGCGCATCCGGAGGCTGGGAAGCCTGGGCTGTGGGATCGGCAGGTGAGGAGGGTCCTGTGGGTTGAGGTTCTGGAGGCGGGGGTGGAGGTGGCGGGGGAGGGGACGGTCTTACGTACGGGATGTCTATGATCGCAACCTTACGACCATTCTCATGCCATTTGGAGGTCTTTACAAGCTCCTGCAGTTGAGTGACGAGTGGGGGCGGAGGAGGTTTGCGTGCAGCCTCAGCCGCAGCAGCGCGTAGGGCATCGCTGTCTCTCTTACTGGACATGGACCCTTGTTTCTTTCCTGACACATCCTTTTTGCCTGAAGCCCCATCTTTTTTGCGTGGTGTGCCAGGTCGGGAGCCACCTCCACCTCCCTCACCCTTCTTTCCACCAGATGTGGCATCTTTCTTGCGAGGTGTGGTGGGTTTTTTGCCAGCCTTGGTTTGGCCCAAAGGAGACTTGGCACCTTCTCTCATCCCCTCCACGCCTACGGCGCTCGTTACGGAGCCTGTTGGGGAGAGCACCCCTTCCCCCCCTTGCGCTGCCAGATCGCCACCTTCTGCCAACGGCACCACTGGCTTTGGAGTCTCATCTCTCAGCTGTATCACAGCCCTGAAAGGGCTGTTCGGCTCCGCCGCCATTGTCGTGAGTGTTGACGCCATGGGCCCCAACCCCGTTACCCAATATACTCTGCTGGCCTCATATAGTGGTATTAACTCGCCTATGGCCCTCGCCTCCGCTTGTACTGCTTCATCGGCCTTCAGTGCAAACAATAGAAGGGAATATTACTAAATTAATCCATGCAAGAGTCTTTCACACTCCAGAACATAATCATTCATTTGGTCACAAACGATTTCATTCAGTGTCAAAAAGAATCATTGTTAGGCACATCTTAGAGGTGCTCATTTAGACACACAAGAAGCACAAGTAACGACCAGAACACGCATGAAGTAGACAAAGAAGGAAAATACTTGGAATGGGAAGATGAAAACAGAACAGGAAGGAAAACTTACAAAAAACAATGATTATGTGTGTGTGTGCGCGCACGAAATAGGGGGGAAAAAAAATGAATACACAGAGGATGCTGCTTTGTTGTCCGCTCTCCATGCTTTTTTTTTGGCCCACCTTTCATACTTATAGATATGAGAGGACACCCCGAAGCCGAAGCCGGGTAATGCCCCTGGTATCATCTTTGTATTCAATTTTATAATGAAAGCTTTGGGCACTGGGCCACTTCTCTTTTTTTTCCCTCTAAACTTACAAAGCGAAAAGCGGTCCCTTGCGTGACGCTAGCGAGGATATGAGTCCTCGGGATGCCCGTATGGCCCCCACTGCAAGCATTGAGCCCGCCCTAAGTGAAGCGGGCCCTCTACCTCCAAAAGGCCTGAATATTGCAAAATTTGCCAGCCCTGGTGGGCGCCAGACAGTTACCACGCTCCAGTTGGTTACAGGGCGCCACATGTGTGACCAAGGCCATGAGCCTTCTAGGCTCTTCCAGATAGCAACGTGGAAGGAGGCCTAATCAGATTGCTGCAAACACTTAAATATCGTGGCATACCTGGGTGTCCCTAACTGCATCGGGCCCAGGCCAGTATCTGAACTGGCCCTGGGGCGCACACACTTTGGTCCAACTGGAAGCTACTAGAAAATCCCATGAGCAGGCACAGGAAGACAGAAGCTGCCAGCACTTTCCACAAAGGAAAGTGCCTTCCTCGTGGTGAGGCATTCTGGCCGTGTGCTTGCTGGCGACAGTGCTGCTGGTTTGAGCGCTGGAGGCCGCTGGTAGGCTAGAGGCTGGAGGTTGCACATGGGCGCAGGAGGGAAGGTGGGCGCTGCTGGAGGCAGCACCAGTACCCAGCCATAGCCGGGCTTGGGGAAGGAGAAGCCAGTGGAGGTGGTGGTGGTCTTTGTGGAGAGAGAGAGGAAGAGAGAGAGCTGTGGGTGAGATGAGGATGAGCATTGAGAGGGTGAGTGAGAGAGGTGATGTGAGAGAGGTGATGTGAGAGGACATACCTGGTCCTGGCGGACGTCTGATGGGTCGACATCTGCATGTACCCTGGTTGCTGCTGCTGATGTCAACAGGCTGCTTCGCCAGGGTAGTAGGCTAGCGTAGTAGCTGTATGATCGTAGTCTGGGTGCTGAGCGCCGGTAGGGGAAAGAGGTTCAAGTACATTGTTGATGGTGGCGAGAGAAGGCTGTCATTGACATTCGCAATCGCTTGGTTCTCCTGGGTGAAATATCAGTGCATTTCTGATTTTTGGACAGCTCACGACTATCTGGCTCACAATGTAATGTTGCAATTTGGATTTTGTCATTTCACTATTGCTCATTTTCCCTGCACGCTCTTCGTGGGCCCGAGAAATTCGTGGAGGGAGGCATGTGTGCCACAGCGCGGTTGGGAAGTTTTGACTCAGCGGGGCGCCGCTTCAGTTTTGTTTGAAAGAAGTACATAGCAGTCTGATGTGGATGGCAAAAGACATGATGTCGGGGCAAATACCCTTGTCAGGGTATTTGCTGCGGATTTAAACGCCAGACGCTGTCCGACTCTTTTCGTTGAATTGAAGGACTTGATGAGACTGATGTTGCCAGAAATCTATTCAAACTAAGCCTATGATCGAGAGATTAAAACTTTTGAACCTTAGTTCGGACACCTGCGGCGTCCAACTGTATTGGCGGTAGATGGCAGTGTCTGGGAACGTTAAAGCTAGACCTATCCTACCTAAAATAATATCGCGCGGCTGCTAAGCCGCGCGATTCAGGGCCTTAGTAGGCATAGGAGAGTGGTCGCGTCGGGTAAGGGACCACGGCGAGGGAGAGAAGGGTTACTTATTCTTTTGGGCTGTGAGATCTAACTCCGCGTCGGGGCCCGACACCGGATTCGCGGCTAAAAAGGTGCCTTGTCGGGCCACCGGGCCGAGTTCAAGCCGGTTAGGTAGCAGGGCGCCAACTTTAGCAGGGCGAGGTAGGGCTAAACCTGCCTAGGCCTAAGATGACTAGCCTACTGGGCCGCAACCCTTCAAATAGAAGGGTTGCAGGCATAACTCCTGTGATAGGAGGTAGCCCAGTAGGTTACAATACCGAACTTTCACCTGACAGATATCGAGATCAAATCCGACAGGTCGCACCTTTGGGTTGACTCCCTTTTGGAGCTGGCCGCCTTACCGGCTATCGGCACGGTCGATTTCGATCGTCGATAAAAAAGATCGCGCGGCTGAGATCGGCTGTGCAGTTCAACATGGTCTGCGCTTTCAAGGATGACACGCATAAATCGAGAAATGGTAAAAAAAAAACATTTCGATCCCAGCAGGGATCGAGCTCGGGTCTGTATTTCAGCGTTCGTGGAGATTCGAGAGAGGAAAACGGAAGGGGGAAAAAAAAAAAAAAAAAAAAAAAAAAAAAAAACAACCTAAGATGGGAAGCAACAGGTGGCATTACAAGAAGTGTCTGGGGCGTTTCAAGCCCCAGTGCACTAGATAGTCGAAAACGGGCGACCGTTTTTTTTGCAGCTGCAAGGTAAGTTTCTTTTTTTCTTTTTCTTTTTCTTTTGATTTTCTTTTCTTCTTTGTTTTTAGATTTCTTCTTTTAGATTCATCTTAGATTTCTCTTTATTTAGATTTGTTTTTAGATTCTTTAATCTCTTTTGTTTTTTTCTTTCTCGTTTTGGTCGTGAATTTCCTGAACGTGCCCGTTCGTTTTGACGAATGGGCTGGACAGACATTTGCAGAACGAGCAAATCGAACGAATCTACTGCTGAAAGTGAGACTATACACTGTAGTACTACTACCACTACTACTAGTAGTACTACTACTACCACTACTACTACTATTACTACTACTACTACTACTACGTGTGAGAGAAAGAAAGAGAGGGAGAGAGAGGAGGCCTACCTAACGGTTGGCTTTCTGCTGTATCCGTCGGCAAGATGAGCAACGCGCTGGCGAACAGGTAAGTTTTCTTTTCTTCTTTTTTGTTTTGTTTTTCTTAGTTATCGTTAGATTCTTTTCAAATTTTTATGTTTATTTGTTTTTCTGAGATACGTAAATAGACAGCTCCTTACCCCGATACGCTGGTTCAGCGACACCAAGTGCAAGCCGACAAAAATTACATCGCTACAATGGCAAATGTTGCATCGGTGCCTGCCAACCAACAACTGGTTGATTGACCACACACAACTAGAACAGCAAGGTCGGGCCCTTCCCTGGTGCTCTTGGTGTTTGTTGGGTTTTTCGGGCAGAAAAAGAACAGAAACCATTGAGCACATATTCCTTCAGTGCCCCGCAGCCGTACTAACTTGGAGGTGGTGGGACAGGGTGTGGCAGCAAATGGTTCCCGGGCAAGTGTGGCCATGGGACTGGCGTGCCATCCTAACAGGCCATTATCCTCCCTTTCAAAACGACATATTCGTGTCCAACATGTTTCATCTATCCCGCAAAACGATCCTATGGGTCCTATGGTGGCAAAGATGCACGCTAACTATGGACCAAGTTTAGGTAGAAGGAGAGGAAAGGATGGAACAACTCAAAACACACTTCCAATTGAAACTCTCACATAAGTGGAACTCAATGAAGCAATCTCTTGCTAACCTCCACAGCCCTAAGGATATCCGGGCACGCCTGCTACAGTTTTCCAAAGAATGGTTAGGTGGTGACCGAGAAGGGTGGGTGGCGGAGGTGTGCTGGTCTGGGACCTGGAGTGAAGAGGGAGGGGGAGAGGTCAGCCAGGGGGAGGTAGTGACTAGGGACTACAGACTCAGATTCAAGGACTGGCTGACAATAGACCCCAGTATCCCTATGAGACCTGCAGAAGAATTCCCCGACCCTTTCCCCCCCCACCCACAATCCCTGGAAGCATACCTGTAACCCATCGGTTAATCTTTCCTTCCCTTCCTCCCCCGCCTCACCTGATGCAGCATAAAAAGACATAAGAAGAGTAACAGAGAAAGGGTTCTGCTAGAAGACCGGAAAGTACCACTGGTGCCCCCCAGTGGTTCTTCCCGGGCCCCAGTCTTGGCATGCACAGGAAACAAAGCTCCTGCAGCAGAAACACAGTTTGGTACAGGGTGAGGCGGCCTTCAGGGAGAAGACTTGGACGTCAATAGCAGAAATTCGGCGCCTGGTATAGGGTGACACAGAAAAGGTTCTGCTAGAAGACCGGAAAGTACCACTGGTGCCCCCCAGCGGTTCTTCCCGGGCCCCAGTCGTGACATGCAAAGGAAAAAAAGCTCCTGCAGCAGAAACACAGTCTGGTACAGGGTGAGGCGGCCTTCAGGGAGAAGACTTGGACGTCAGTAGTAGAAATTTGGCGCCTGGTATAGGGTGAAGAGGTCGCACTCCCAGCAGTTCTTCAGCAGGCTTTTTCTCTCAATTGATTCTCTAAAACCCTGCTCAGTTAAGCCCCTGGACCCCAGGGCATTCGAAGCTGGCAAGGGTTGCATGTACCAATTTTTTCTGAAGTTTCATTTCGATGACCTGCACAGTCAATCCCCTGTTTTCAGGGTAATCAATGCTTGCAGGAATCTTCTACTTATTTTTCTGGTGATTTTTTGTACTCATTCTGTATATGGGACGTTGGACCCGCTTTCCAGCAGGTGATGCTCCCCACCAATAGATGGAGTCCCTCCCTGGGGTAGTGGCGACTGCTCTTATCAGCACCACTACCACCAGGGGGTGTTTTTCAAAAAAAAAAAAAAAAAAAAAAA